TTTGCCGGTTGTACGATGAGCTTTCCTCAGCCTCACAAAAATCAACGAACTCGATGGCTGGCTGGCTGACGCTCTTTCAGTCATGGATTTACGAGCACTTTCCGTATTTGGGGGGTGGCACATTGAAGACGGAATTCGAGGGGCCATTAGCGAGCCGATGGGAGCCTCAGTCAAAGACTACTTCAACGCCTGAACGAGCGTCGTACCTGCGATCTCGATTAGATGATTTGATCCCCGATCAGGTAACATACCACTTTAATAATTTGTTATTACTACTTAAGTAGGTTTTTACATCTAATTTTTTATTTATTTTAATAGGTTATATGGTCACCGTATACGGCTATTCGTGATCGTTTCCCGATGCCAGATTCTGCTTGGTTTAGTGGGATGATATGTTGCATGGACCACTTCGAGGCATATCATCCGGACAGAGTGTTGAGGCAGTTCAACCGGGTGCAAATCATTCCAGGTCGTGCATACATGTCAAAAGATATGTACAAAGCTCTAGTTAGCAAAGGTCGACCGGTCCAGAACTCAATTTTCGTTGCGTACGGCGAACGATTCTCTGATCGGTGGGAGGAGTATTGTCTGGACGAGGAGTCGAGGTCCGTTGAAATTGAACTCGGGGAGGCGGACACTTCGCCGGACTACATGAATTGGTTCCGACCCAGATGCATGTTACAACTGAGTAGGCATGGAGCCCATCCTCCTCGACCCCAGGCGGATCGACCTCGACCCCATGAAGCTCGTCCAGAGGGTGGTACCGATAAGGAGGTCCAACTTTCACAAATTTTGGAGTTGGTGAAGGGTACACTTAGCGAGGTGCGGGGACTTGCGCCATCCGACGCTCATACGGTCATGTGGGGGACCCTAAATGATATTGTCAGATTGATCGAGCCGGATGCCCCACTTCCACCTCCTTCGAGGTCGTCGGATGCCCCACCACCACCACCTCCAGGTAGCTCGATAGGGCCACTTCCACCGCCATCGAGCTCGTCCGATGCCCCACAGGCGGTTGTGAAACACGTGTTTAGTAGGAAGAAAAAAACACAGGATTAGTCTTGTATTTTTTTAGATGGATGTTGTTTGATAGATTTTATTTGTTTTACTTGTTTTTTAATTTAGTTTTATATGGATTTTGGCTGTTTTAAATGAAAATATTTTTGATAATTTTTAATTTTTTTTTGTCCAAAAACACTTAGAATATGTTTTTTATCTTACATTGCAAAAAAAAAAAAAATTGTAAACAGCTCAAATTCGACAGCTAGCTGTCGAATTACTGTGTGTAATTCGACAGCTAGCTGTCGAATTTGAGCTGTATACATTTTTTTTATTTTTGAAAAAATTGCAAATTTATTTTTTTTTTGTCCAAAAATACTTACATGTGTTTTTTATGTTACATTGCAATATATTTGGGGTTTAAAAAAAAAAACATAGTTTTTTCAAATAAAACTGCAACACTTAATAACATTGAATGTATCACCAGTAACTTTACATATTTATGTTGGGAGAACTATCACCATTGTCTGATATAGTAATAATCTCGAAACTCTCTCGCGTGGCAACATTTTGACCTATTAATTCTCGAAATGCTGTAATCCGACCATCCATTTCTGCAGGCTTCCAACCATCAGCTTTAGGATCATGACACCGGTACCAATAATCGGCGATAGGAGGTATTGGACAATTCTTGTTCAATACAACATGCACGAAGTGACAGTTGTCGACGAATGCCATACCGTGCTCTTGCCTCTCGCTGAAAAGCTTTGGATCGCTCGATAGGGGAAGGAACGTGAGACACTGATACTTGGATAAGTAGACAAGCACAATATTGTATGTTGAAGCAATTACATGACCCATATTTGGCAAAGACATCCAATGATCACGAGTTGCAGGAACATCCCAGTTACTCACAATAGCTTGCATGCTTCTAACGGTTTCTTCGCCACGGTGCATGGTCGTGTAAGTGGAAAAATTAGAAGTCAACTCCCGTAGCATGTCATCTCGCACTCGACCCCATTCATCTTCTCCAAATCCCATCATAGAGGCAACTGCCCGAAATCCACAGTGTCCATCTGAACCGACATTGATGATTTCTCGAACGTGCATACGAAATCGTGGATGGATCGTGTCAATGTACTTATTCTTGCCGATCAAACCTGGTGGCAATCCCACATCTGCATCTTCAAATAATGGTTTGACCGACTCTTGTGTCGGTATAGTGCTTTTTCCTGACTCTTGAGTTGGTATAGTGTTGAAAGAATCATTCGAATGCCCTCGTAATCTCATCAGTACAGGTATAAGCTGCAGTATATTACATTTCATTACTACTCAGCACAATTATAAAATACAACTTCAATGAAATGAGACGATAGTAGCGACATTTACCTTTGGAGAACAACTAGCTTGCTTCGATTTTTTTTTCTTTGGCTCCACATACTCAAAATGTGATTTGTCCCGAGTGCTTGATTTGTCTTTCCTACTTTTTGCCGGTCGACCTTTGCTAACAACTTTTTCACTTGGCTCCGTAAGGTTAGTCTTCTCTGGGTGGGTAAAATGTCTCAAATGGTTGCGCAATCGAGTTTTTGCATCGAGATCGGCACATTCAAAGAGCTTCTGGTATTCCGATAATTCTTCGTCGATGGTTGGTAGGATGACTTGGCCTGTGGTCGCGACGGGCTCCATACTCATGTGTTTCCAATACGAGCCTATTAACTCAAGTGGGATAGGACATTTGTTCACAACAACATACTCATGAAGTTCATGGCGACATGGTAGACTGTGGGTTGTTCGAATGGCGCAACTACAACCCATATCGCTCGGTTGCAATAGTTTCGCATTGTCCACCTCAACTTTGAGTAGTTGCAGAGCATATTTTGAGATACTTCCACGAAGCTCATTGTATATCAACGTTTTGAAAGTGTGCTCGTAAGTATTTTTACTTACTTCAAAGGAAGCCTTGATGTCATTGTGTTGTTCGACAATTTGATTGTGGACTTTCGTATACAAATCCACAAATGTGCCAGTTGAATTACGCACATCCCTTTTCATTCGTCCGTGTGCCCCCTCCACCCTATTAGAAGTGTACGTTCCAAAATGAGTATACTTATTTGTCCACACCGATACAAGTCTCTCCTTGTACGGATCCAACCATGAATTAGCTAGATACTCTATAGCCGGGAGATAACCAATGAATGTTCTTTTCAAATCCTCCCAATCCTCATTGAACTCCTCTATGGTATTTCTTTCAATAAGAGCCGAAAAACTCGACTGAAATTGCTTCCATTTGGTGATGTCCTTTGGGAACAATTTCTTACAATTGGCCACTATATTCTTGTTCACATGCCACCGACACAGCAAGTGATGACTCGATGGATACACATTGGCCACTGCTTTCATTAAACCCAAATCTCGATCTGTTACAATACAATTAGGCCGAGGACAACTGGTCATGGCCTCCTTCAAACAACGCAACGCCCATTCAAAATTTTCCGTCTTTTCGTGGTCCAAGTAAGCAAAGGCAATTGAGAACGTCTTGTTGGTACAAGTAAAACCCACAATCTCAAGAAATGGGAGTCCGTAACGATTGGTCTTGTACGTGCAATCGATGACGAATACGTACGGATACGACTGTGCCAACTTAATGCATTTCGGGTGGATCCAAAACAAGTCGGTAATCGCATTCAACTCGTTCGATCTATGGTACGAGAGGTATTCATCTTCTTTCAACTTGACAAACAATGATTGCAATTGAGATCTCCCATCCAATTCACTGAAATTTAACTTAGAGATAGTATTGTAAACTGTCTTCATACCAGTTACATTAGACGGGTCCTTTTGCTTCAATGCTCTTAGAATTGCCCTTGGTTTCACCATTGCTTTCTTCATAGTGTGAACAAAGGAAACATCCTCCTTTGATAATCTTCCGGCATAAGAGTGTCCGTGCAAGTTTTCGAATAAGTTGTGGTTGTGAATACCACAACTAACATCCAATTTCCACTCAGCCTTTTCATCATCCTTGTGTTCCCTTGTCCCCTTCAATTTAAACGGACAATTGCATTTCTTTGAACCGGTGCTCCTTTTTCCCGGTCTTTGATCATCTTCACCTGGTACCTTCTTGCCAACATAATGGCCCCCACGCTCACAACGAACAATCACATACGGTGTCCTACGTCCTCTATCCCCGTCACTCGAACCCCCAATCATTAACACCATTCCAATTCTTTTACATACTTCACGAACCCATGCCATTAAAGCTTCTTTTGTTGGGAATTTTTCTGACGTGGTAAATGAATGGGTGCAATCGATCTACACAAAAGTGTCGAAAATATAAGACAAGTAAATTTGCAACAGGAACCAAATCGACACTTAAGTGTCGAATTATGATGCAATTTTCGACACTTAAGTGTCGAAATTTTGGGTAATTTTCGACACTTTAGTGTCGAAAATTGCATCATAATTCGACACTTGGGCGTCGAAATCTAAGGGTATTTTCGACACATACATGTCGAAAAATAGGTGTATTTTCGACCTGTATGTGTCGAAAATACATGGCGAGCTTTAAAAAAAAAAAAATTTCAAAATCGATGTTTTAGCTCAAAAAATACATGAATACATACCTGAATGGGTTCTCCTTGCTCGTAAACTACCATTCTATTGTCATTTGAGGCCATTTTGCAAGTTGTGTAAGGTTTTGATTTCTTTTGTTTTGGGGTTTTTTAGGAGGGTTTTTGGGGAGGGAGAAGAAGGAGGTGGAGGAGGTGAGGGGTTTGGGAGTGAGGAGGGAAATGTTTTTTTTAGGTTTTTGATTATTTGGTTTTTAAGAAAGAAAAATAGTATTTGTAATATTATTTGGTTTTAATTTTCATTAAGGGTATTAAAGTAATTTACAATTAATTATTTAATTTCTATTTTTTTGGTATTCAACTAAGCAAAAGTTAGTATTCAAAATAGTTGTCCCCATACAGAAAAGGAAAAGTATAAATAAAATAAAAGAATTAAAAAAAACGAAAATACAAAAAACGAAATAACCTTCATCTCTTCCAGCCTTTGATGAATTTTTAGACACTCTCGCTGATTATATGAGCGCAAAACCTCTACTTTCTCTCTCTAGATTTACATAATATAATACGCGCACTTTCTCTCTCTTGATCCAACCATCAGATTGCGTGTTTCTTCACTCAATTCCATCTTCGTAGATCCTGCACTCGGTATCTCTGCTGCAAACACCGAATCTGTTAAAATGGTGAGTTTTATTTGCTTCTGTCGGTGTTGGATTGTTTTCGCATTTCGTGTTGCGTTTTGGATCTGGTATTTGTTTTGAATTGGTTCGAATTACGTGTTTTCGGGGATTTTTTTTGGTGGTGGAATGGGGAGGGGATTCGACATTGCGATTGATGAAGCTTGGGTGGTAGAGTTGTAATTCGTCTGGATTTGATGCCTGTTTTTTGAGATCTGTAGCTGCTGTTTTTGCTCACTAACTGAATCTCTTTTTTTTTTTGGGAATTGTGGTGCAGCCGCTTAGACTGGAAATTAAGGTACTGAAATCATTTCAATTGAGAATCATGTTCAGGATTTTCCTTTTGTTTTTGTGTGTGAGTGTGTGTGTGGGAGAGAGAGAGATAGCGATTGTTTTGCACTGACTTTTTTGTTTATTGCATCAGAGAAAACTTGCACAACGCTCGGAAAGAGTAAAATCGGTGGATCTACATCCGACAGAGCCATGGCATGTTTCTTATCTGATCAGTTATTACGTTGAAGTAGTTGTCCGGCATTCTTTAATTATCAATTTTGAAATGATTCCTAGTCGAAATTTTAAGTTATTTACGGAGGGAACACCATTTGTTTGTTGATTATTTCCGGCATTTCATGGAGTTATTTGAAGAGATCAATAGTTGCAAGCTTTATATTCTTTTATTTACGTTGCTAATCATGTCCTGAGTTTTGGTACATCTATGGTTTGATTATCTCGACATCTGATTCCATATTGGATTCTACTTTCACAGGATATTGGCAAGTTTGTACTCAGGGACTGTTTGTATTTGGAACTACCAAACTCAGGTAAGCAAAATTCAGCTGCACGATTATTTCATCATGGAGCATTGCCTCGTTGATAATTTCATGATTAGCTGATTGGCCTTTGTATGTATACTTAGATAGGTTAAGATTCGGGATGTTAAAAGGACATGACTGCCTCATTTAAGGAAACAATTAATTTTAAAAGCATCTCTTAATAATGAGGTTAATGCTACTGTCAGTCTGTCATCATCTAGAATTTTCAAATTTGTTTTTAGTTATATCTAGATTTTGTCAATCGTTTAGTTATCAAGATCCAATTTGGATACATGTTCTGTCTACGTTTTCGGAAGTTCTTTGATGCGAAACTTATTGGAAAGAACCAGTTGTTTAGCTCCCCTACAAAATAGCTGCTTAGTTGTACGAACATAATATTACAAGCTGGTAGTTGTACTGCGTTGTTATACTTTCAAAACATAATTCCGTTTCTATTTACTCTTTGTGGAAGCTGCTTGTATGATAGATTTGAACCACAAACTAATACATGAATTTACTAGTTTGCTACTTTAAGAGGATAGTTCCTCTAAGGCCAGATCTTGATTTGAAAACAATATTTTACCCCTACTTTATATTACAGTGAAAACAGTCTGTATTATAACAATCATACGGATTTGGTACGGGATGTGTAGTTATTTTGCACTTTTATCTTACTAACATCTAGTTCTTTTTTATTATCTTTTATATGCTAAATTATGTTTTAAAACTTGGTTTCTGATTCTGCAGACAATGGTTAAATCTTTTGAGGTTACAGAACTACCAGGTGCACTATTAGAATAATAGTTTATATTCATTTGGTTGGTGAAGAAATGCTTCACTGACAACTTTTATTTGTTTGAAGAGCATGTTTATACTAATTCCGACCACTTGATCTCACAGTTAGATCTGCAAAGTTCATTGCACGAAAGCAGTGGGTTGTGGCTGGTGCTGATGACATGTTCATTCGTGTATACAATTACAACACAATGGATAAGGTCAAAGTGTTTGAGGCTCATACAGATTATATTAGGTGCGTGGCTGTTCATCCCACTCTTCCATACGTGCTGTCATCCTCCGACGACATGCTAATCAAGCTCTGGGACTGGGAAAAAGGGTGGTTATGCACTCAAATATTTGAGGGTCATTCTCATTATGTGATGCAAGTGACTTTCAATCCAAAAGACACCAATACTTTTGCCAGTGCATCTCTCGATCGCACTATTAAGGTACTAGTGCAGTTGCTCATTGGTTAATTTTTTTTTAATTGGGTTTTTGGTTATCTTGCCATAGCATTTTAAGCTTATAATGTTGCTTTTATAGATCTGGAATCTGGGCTCCCCAGACCCAAACTTTACACTGGATGCCCATTTAAAAGGAGTCAATTGTGTAGATTATTTCACGGGTGGTGATAAACCGTACTTAATCACTGGTTCTGATGATCACACTGCTAAGGTTTGTTCCTGGTTCTACTTAGATGGTGGGATCGAGTTATTCGAGCAAAATCTAAAATGTTTATAAAACTCATAAACAGGTGTGGGATTACCAGACAAAGAGCTGTGTCCAGACATTAGAAGGCCATACACACAATGTTTCTGCAGTCTGCTTCCATCCTGAACTTCCCATCATAATAACAGGTTCTGAGGATGGCACAGTCCGCATTTGGCATTCCACCACTTATAGGTGAGTTTTGCTTACAAGATGACTTAATATTTGGATTACACTTGTCCTATTTATGATTCCTGTCTCACTGCGAGTTGAAATTGACTTACTCGAATGTCGTGTTTAATTTTTAGAATTGTTATTAGACCGTTACATCTTTTAGGTACTGTTCTTTTAGCAGGAATCGACTTCTCAAATAACAATTGTTGAATTTTTTACTTTAAATTTCAAAAGTCAGGAATTCAGAATAGCTCGTGCCAAGTTATCTTAAATTTTGATATGTTAAAGTAGATAAAGTCATAATTTCTTCTATATCCCGGGGTACCTACGTTAAAATGCCTAAAAATAAGCACATTTACTTCAAAAATATCTTCGTAGTTTGTAAACCACCTTCACACAATATATTTTCACCTTTACCACTTTAACCGTAATTAGGGATTAAATTTTTGTTTGTGTTGTTTTGTTCTATTCAGCTTTCTTGCAATATAATTTACTTCTATTGGTCCTCTAAACATAAGATTTTTTCACCATTTTTGTGATCTTGCAGACTTGAAAACACATTGAATTATGGTCTTGAAAGAGTTTGGGCAGTTGGCTACATAAAAGGTTCTAGACGGTAAGTTTCAGTGAACTGATTGGATTTTGCTGGTTGAGAATTATTTTATCTATTTGAACTGAGGTATTGGTTATCCATGCTGGCATTTATAGGTGTCTGAAAACCATAACTTCCACATTGTTATATAATTTAAATCACTACTTGTTTTTGAGAAAAAAAAGTTGCAGTAAGTAAACGTTATTAACAGTTAAATCTGAATGTTAAAAAAATTGGTTACATGTTTTATTCAAGCAATCACCCGTTTGAGGTTAACAATTTTCGGAACCTAGAGAACTCTATAGAGCACTTATAAGTAATCTTGACTTGGTTTCTTTTTTACTTTGAGAAGTGCCTAAATCTGATCAACTCCATGTTCAGGGTTGTAATCGGTTATGATGAAGGAACCATCATGGTAAAGCTTGGTCGGGAGGTACCTGTTGCTAGTATGGATAACAGTGGGAAAATCATTTGGGCCAAGCATAATGAAATTCAGACTGTCAACATCAAGAGCGTAGGAGCAGATTATGAGGTGACGATTTTTTTGAACTTAATAAACCAATAGATAGGTGAGTTGCTGCTCTGAAATTAAATTTTCTCAGGTTGCTGATGGAGAGCGATTGCCTTTGGCAGTAAAGGAGTTGGGAACTTGTGACCTTTACCCACAGGTGATTTTTCCTTAGTTGTAAGACCCACATGTTATACCAATATCTTTGAATGGTATTGCAATATTGGGAGTTCATGTCTCTCCATGTGGTTTCTCTTCATATGTGTCCATGTATACATAACCTCATTGCATAAACATTTTACTCATTCATCCATTTTTTTCCTTTCGCCTATTATGCTAGTATTTGTGATTAAGTTATCAATGCTCAATGTTGTTTGCTTGATGTCATTTGAGGATGAATGATGGATATTAATCTTTAAAGCTTTGTCTTCCTCATTTGTTTGATATCTGATAGTTACACTTGAAAGTCTTTATTCTGTTGACTATGATGCTTGTTTCTCATCCATGGCAACAAGTCCTAATGGGTCTGAAATACTATGTTTTCCTTTTGAGTTTTAAATTGTAATTCCAATTAATTTTAAATTACTGAATGTTTCGCTTTTGGTTTTTAAATTGTAATTCCAATTAATTTTAGATTGTTGAATGATTTTTTTACTCGAATGTTACTGTTCTATGATGTTATATAAGAAAACACACAGAGAGATTTTTGTAAGCCCCTCGTTTGAAGGATAAAGATTCTTTTATTTTTCCTTTTCTTGTGCTTTGAAGCTTTTTGAATAAATTTTGTTATTGAAGAAGTTACATTTTCTTTATGCTTGAATATATCAAATGAAAATAATGATTTAGGAAGTTGTCTATCTTTGATCATTTTCTTGACATCATTGTTGAAAGATTAATTTACACACCAGGACACCACTAATTGTTTATCATCTATATTGGCATAGTTTTGACTTAATTTTTTTCTTCTGGCAGAGCTTAAAGCATAACCCTAATGGTAGGTTTATTGTTGTATGCGGAGATGGTGAGTACATCACATACACAGCCTTGGCATGGAGAAACAGATCATTTGGCTCAGCTTTGGAATTTGTTTGGTCAACGGAAGGAGAATATGCTGTTAGAGAAAGTACATCAAAAATTAAAATCTTTAGTAAAAATTTTCTGGTTAGTTTTCACTTTTCACACATCCTATATATTTACGTTGCTATCTTCCCTATTGCATTGAGATTTAAATTTTCAACTATAAGATTTCTTGGATATTTTTGGCTCCCTTTGTGCCTGTTTGTGGTCTTTCCTGTTCAATTTTTATTTTAGCACCTCATGTGAAATGACACCCACCCATCATGACAGTTGGTACTGAAATGACTTATTCACCGTTCATGTTTGGCTCTTTTTATTTAGTAAAAAATTGTAAATAAATGTAGACCATTCGCCATTGTACCTTGTTACTAGTAGTTGTGCATAATAAGTTATTTTTCTTAGCTCATCAGTGGGGTTAACAATTATGATGATTCTTTTTCTTTTTTCCTTTTTTACAGGAGAAGAAAAGCATTCGACCTACATTTTCTGCTGAACATATTTATGGGGGAACTTTATTGGCCATGTGCTCAAATGATTTCATTTGCTTCTATGATTGGGCTGAATGCAGGTTGATACGGCGCATCGATGTCAATGTTAAAGTAAGGACATTTACAGCCTAAGATATCACTGCATGTTACTGTTGTGGCAATATAGGTTCTCATTGTGCTTTTGTCTGTTTCTGGGCGATATATTCCAGAATCTTTACTGGGCTGACGGTGGTGATTTGGTGGCCGTTACCAGTGATACATCATTCTACATACTTAAGTATAATGTAAGGATTGCATTAATATTGATTTCCTTTTTATTTGCAAGCACATCATTTTCTGAGAAGTTTTAGTGACGGGTTTTGGCCTTCATGTTGCAGCGTGATGTAGTTTCAGCTCATCTAGACAGTGGTAAATCAGTAGATGAACAAGGCGTGGAAGATGCGTTTGAGCTTCTTTATGAAATTAATGAACGAGTAAGAACTGGGCTTTGGGTTGGGGATTGTTTCATTTACAATAACTCTTCCTGGAGGCTCAATTACTGCGTCGGTGGTGAGGTATGGTTTAGTGATCCATATTTACTTCTGCAATCTTTACTCTTCAATTATTCCTTCCAGAATGAGAAAGCAATGTTTCTTTATGTGCTGTGTTAGGTGACAACAATGTTTCATTTAGACCGACCCATGTACTTGCTTGGATATCTTGCTGGTCAAAGTCGCGTTTATCTCATCGACAAAGAATTTAAGTGAGTCATTATGCTAGCTGTTAGATGTAATGACTGTTTTTATGTACTTTTACTTTATGTAGGGAGTCAATATCATCTTTAAAATAAATCAAATATAGGTGATGTGGCGCCATTCCTCTTGATGCAAGAGAAAGAGGTACTCCTTGTTTCGTTTGCAATTTCTCATACGTGTCTTTGCATCTGTCATGCAGTGTCATAGGGTATACTTTGCTACTCAGCTTGATTGAGTACAAGACTCTTGTAATGCGTGGTGATCTGGAAAGGGCAAATGAGGTTTTACCATCGATTCCAAAGGAACATCTTAACAGGTTCTTTGACATTTTTAACCTCTTTATCCACTACTGATTAAGTTAATCTCCGGAGCTATTTTGCTTGATATATATTGTTTTTCTTCCCTTGCCCGCCTCCCCGTCTCTTTGAAATTTCTAATTCTACCAGATTCTAAGGCATATATATCTGGAATTAATTCTTTTAGCATAATTATATAAAAAAATTGATGATGTGGATACAGTGTGGCTCATTTCTTGGAGTCACGAGGTATGATAGAAGATGCACTGGAAGTTGCTACAGACCCTGACTACAGATTTGAGTTAGCCATACAGCTAGGCAAACTAGACATCGCAAAGGTAAACCATTTGATTTGTTTAATATTCATACTAAAAAAGTTCTTTGCTGGAGCCCTTTGATTTTGTTTTCTAGCGGCCGGATCTTTTAAATGTATTTTTCCAGCTCCCTTACTCAAATCTGTGCTTTTTTTATATTTTCCACAGGAAATTGCCACAGTAGCACAGAGTGAGTCTAAGTGGAAGCAATTGGGGGAGTTAGCTATGTCTACTGGAAAGGTATTACCTTGGCCATCATGCTCTAAACTCAACTGCAGTTAGTTTACTCAAACATCTTTTTGGTTGATACAGTGGTTGTTGTCTTTCACCCACAAAAAAAGATATTCCCCTCCCTCTCTGAATATCTTATAATAACAATTAATTTTCTTCCGAAATGTTTAATGTATCATGGCCAAGAGCCTAGAGGTCATATTAATATACCGTGTCAGTTGCTTATCTTTCTATGACTTGATAGATGTATTCGTATACTGATCCATGTCTGGTACTCGTTCAGTTGGACATGACAGAGGAGTGCTTGAAGCAAGCAAATGACCTAAGTGGTTTGCTGCTACTCTATTCTTCGTTAGGCGATGCTGAAGGAATTACTGAACTTGCATCTCTTGCCAAAGAGCATGGGAAAAACAATGTAGCATTCCTTTGTTTATTTATGCTGGGTAAATTGGAGGACTGCCTACAGCTGTTGGTTGACAGGTGACAGTTTTTTTTTTTTTTTATTTGATTTGTCTACCAATTAGTTATTGGACTCTTACAAAATGTGAGTTCTTTGCAGCAATCGGATACCTGAAGCTGCATTGATGGCTCGGTCTTACCTCCCAAGTAAGGTGTCAGAAATCGCCGCTCTTTGGAGAAAGGACCTCAATAAGGTCACACTCATTCTGTCATCTTAAATTGCGGCAGTTAAAATTTAATAATATTCTAATGCATTTCCTTGAAGCCAAAGAAACCTAAGGTTGAAACTAGTAGAGTTGTTGGGGAATTCTGTCGTAATTTGATCTGGCTCCATTATGATCTACAGATTAATCAGAAAGCTGCAGAATCTCTTGCTGACCCGGAGGAATATCCTAATTTGTTTGAGGATTGGCAAGTTGCTCTTGCCGTTGAAACTAAAGCTGCCGAAACAAGGTACATTTACACTGCTTTAATTTGGCTGAACCTTTATTATTTGACCAACCACTTCATGTATAAAAGTAAACCTCGAGTATTAGGCGTATCATTTTATCCTGCAATTATTCATGTTTGAGTATAGTAGAACCAATTTAAACTCAGTTCAAGTTAGCTATGCTGTCTATTACAAACGTTTTTCGATTTCCATGTTTCCACAATCTCTATTTCTCAGGCAGCGTCGTATGGGCTTCACACATGTTTTCATGAATTGTGGTAGTAATACACTGATTTGTTTCCCATTTTATTCTAGGGGAAAATATCCTCCTGCAGCCGAATATATGCAACATGCTGACAGATCAACTGCAAGTCTTATAGAAGCTTTTAGAAACATGCAAATGGATGAAGATGAACCATCGGAAAATGGAGTCTTGGATTATGAGGTACATGTCAATTTATTTTCAATTGCTGGGCTCTTTTTCCTTTTCATTTAATACTCGTATTATATATGTGACAGAACCACCACCTCTACATTGATACACATTGTTAATAAAACAAAGTCTTTTACCCTTTCACTATTTAAGAAAGAGTTGCCATATGTGGAAAGTTGAACCTGCAAAATGTTGCATCACGTATTACATTATATAAATTGTTTTTTTTTTCTTTTTCAATTTTCTTTTCCAGGATGCAGAACAAAATGGTGATGAAGAAGAAGAGATGGAAATCGAGGACCAAGTAGAGGGCCAAGAAGAGGGTGTTGTGGTAGATGCTGACTCAACGGATGGTGCTGTACTCGTGAACGGTAATGAGGCTGATGAAGAGTGGGGTACGAATAATGAAGGAAAACCGTCAGCCTAAAAGCAATTGGTTGGGCCTGTGTGAAATATTCCTAGTTTTTATTTTTGCTGGTGATTAAATGATTTTCTTTTTAGTTGCTGCATTGACTCCCGATTTTTTGTGTTATTGGCCGTACTTTTTATATTCATCTATTTCTTCTACTGCATCTTCTCAGATATAACATACATAGATATTTAGGATCCAGAGATGATATCGAATCATTTTCTGGAATTAGTGGATTCTACTTACCTTTCTCCTAAAGTAGAAAATTCAAGTTACAGTAGTTTTTTCTTGTTATATTTATTTGATCATTGTGCATCCGCATCGTACGGTTTTTCAACGAACGGATCGTTATTTATTTCCTTCCCCTTTGCTGATTTGTCAGTGCTTACACCACGTCACTGAGTCAACTCGAGACAGACGGTTCCAGCTGTATATGAATTCTCTCATGGTAAGGTTTTTAAAAGCTTTATCTGCTACGGTTGTTTTCGTTGTGGCTTGTGATCCATTCAGGATATACAGTTCATTTTTTTTAAGGTATTCTGCTTGAATTTTTAATTTGAGTTTCGTATCTCAGGGTTTCGGTTGCTAGTCTTTCTGCCAAGTGATGTTATTTAAGCACGACGAATTTTGTTATTGGACTTTTCGAGTTTCGGATGTTAGTGTTTTTGTTGATTTTTCTGCTCATTAATTTTTTTCTTCTACATTTTTCATGTGACGTTGTGTATTGTAGATAACACCATTAAATATAGTATAATTTTGTTATACTATTCGTATATTTCTTAGCTTTCCAAAAATCAAAAAAGATTCCCCTTTTTTTTCGGGTTTTCAAATGTTTCAGAGTAGGTTGAGAGCAAATTGTAAGCGAATTAATAGAGGAGAGTGCAATGTCTAAAGTATGTACTCGAGACCGAACCGTATATGAAACTACTCAAAAGGGACATACGAGCTAAAACCTCTAGTGTATTATTTAAGGGGAAATTAAGGCCACCTTTTGAGTATGGTCAAATTACGAAACCTCCCCTCCTATTTGAGTAATTATAGCCACCCTTTTAATTATGTATTATTTCACGAAAAGACCCCTCCAGAGGTAAATTTATAAATGTACCGAACCGAAATTTCGGTACGCCAACATTTCATACCGTTTACTAAACTAGATATACGACTTGGTTCGGTAAATAATCGAATTATATAAATTTTATGTGAAAATATTTAAAAAGAGGGGTGGCTGTAATTATCCAAACAAGAGGGTTTTTTTCTTCATAATTTGATCATATCTTAGGAGGTTGGCCGTAATTTGTCCATTATTTAATGAGGAAATAGTTATACAATGGGGTGATGTACAAACTATCAAACCTAATGTGCATACATCATTCGAATCATCATTTTTGTATAATAACTCAGAAAAACATTTACTACCTCTTTGTATTAAAATCTCATATATAAATCAAAATATTCATTGTTTGAAACGTTCCAAAATTTTTTATGTATTTTTTTAATTAAAATATGTATTTTAATAGTAACTTTTTTTTTGGTAACACAACAAAGTCAAAGTCAAATAGTGACCACAATATGATTCATGTGATTAATTCCTTCCCTCCTGTTACAAATAATCATATATAGTTAATGTTGACCGAAAAATAGGAATCATATAAACTTCAAGAAAAATCCTGAAAACATGTTAATAATCCATTACATAATTACTTGTGAAATGTTGACTTATATAACTATTAAAATATATTACTAAATAAATCTTGGTACATGCATCAAACACCTCATAAACTTACTAAATATGCTAGAATCCATTTGTTGATATTCAACACATTTAAGAATCAGATCAGATAATTTGATAACTGAAATTAAATTAATTACACAATGAAATCAAAATGATGGCCAAAGCTCGTTTCTTTGAAGAATCTTTGACACTATAAATAGTCCATAAATCATTGCAAACCCAAACACAAAATATACATTTAACAAAAAATAAATAAATTATCAAGGAAAAAAAAAAACAATATGATGGGGCTAAAAATGAAACTAGTAGTTTCAATGGTGATGGTTTTAATGATCTGTATCGCAGATGCAACACCGGCACGCGAAACTCATCAAGATTCCGACGTCGGTTATATCATATGTGTGAAGGAATGCTTGAAACATTGCAAGGACTACCTATTTGGTCAGTGTCCTCAAGCTTGTCACGCCATTTGTCAACATTTGCATCCCGGAGCCTTCGCCCCAGCCTCTCACGGTGGAAGAATATGATCGATGACTTATAAACTTCGACGACGTGGAAGCGATGAACAACTAATTTGCTTTCCACATGCAATAATAATATTTAGTCTTTTTGAATGACTAGTTGCTTTCTTGAAGTCTTTTATTACTGTTTTTTTTTCTTGGAGTGAACTGTCGAATTATATTTATATATATAAAAAAAAATTAATTTGAAAATAAAAATCAAATATGAAAGAATTCGCACTGTGTTTAAAATTCGAAAATTTCGAATCAATATCGACCAAATTCAAAAATTTCATTCTGATTTCACCCTTAAACATCACGTCAATTATCATTATCATTATCGCCACCATACTTCTATGTCTCATACATCCAATCAATTTTAAAATTTATGTATATATTGAATATAGAGTATTTTTTTCAATAAATCTTTATCTCATATGTCCGAATTCTGATAAATTCGACTATGTCGATGCCTTTTGTCTCTCTAGAAAATGGAACCTAGAGGGGAATTCATCGATCGTACCGTATCGAATTGAAAATTCGATCTAGTATTGGTTAATTTTGTTTCCTAGAAATTCGATATTCGATACGGTTTATGGTAAAGATGTCCGGTAATTTTTCATTCTACAATTAGATGATGAGGTAATGTTTCGGTCCAGTAGAATAGCAGCCAATTCATTTGTTTGTGCGTCGACTTTTCCTTTTTTTATTTTATTTTCTTTTTGTCGGGTGGGCGGGGGGAGATATAAGAATACTTCGGTTTTCCGGCATAAAAAAAACGAAGTCAAACAAAAAAAAAATCAGTACAAAACCGAACTAAATTGTTGTTATTAGATAATCGGCAAAAACTTTTTCGAACCGAAATTTCGTTTTATCTAAATTCCAGTACAGAATGAACACCCTAGTATAAACACCTAATATGCAGAATGCATTTGTAATAGATATTAAATACTTCAACAAAAGTTTACTATAATTGACAAAACGTTCCAAATATTTTTATATTTAAATCTTATATATAAAAAAATTATACATTGTTTGAAACATTCCAAATATTTGTATATATATTATATAGGTTTGTTAATTTATTAAAATACATACTATAACTAATTTAATAGTATTTTTTCTTTTGTTTTTAGAAATAAGACAACAAAGTCAAAGTAGTGACCACTATGATTTATGATTCATGTGATTAATTCCTTCCCTCCTACAAATCTTATATTGTCAATTTTGACCAAAAAAATAAAAATCATATACACTTCAATAACAAATATTATTAAAAACATATTGATAATCCATTAAAAAATACTAAATAAATTAGTTGTCAAAATGTTGACTTATATAATAATTAAAAATTTACACTTAATAAATTTTGGTATATGCTAGAATCAGTTGCTGATACTCTACAGTCTACATATTCAAGAATTGTATAATTTTATAATATGAAATCAAATTTACAAAATAAATAAAATTTAAAATGTTTATTTAAGCAATGATTTAAATTTCGACTTTACTATATCACTTTATGATATCTTGGTTTACACATATATCAAATATAAACTTACTTAATATGTATAATGTTGTAATTCATTTTATAGATTTACCCTAATAATTATTTAATTTGCGCACAATCTAAAATCAAGTTACATTAATAAATAAATAAATTTAAAAAAAAAAAGATTTGGCAAATATTTCACTTCTCACAAGAATTAATGAAACTATAAATAGTGCCTCACTAACACTCATTTTCATCATTCTCAAATACAAGTTTTATATAATATTTAGCAAATTGTTAAATATTAATTACGACGACCACGAGAATCAGTGGAGGGGCCAACGATGGGATTTGTAATTTCAATGGTTATGGTTT